TTGAGAAGAATGACCAAACAGAGACATAGAAATAAAGCTTCCCATGTCCTATAGATTGGGTCACATCCACACAGGATGATGTGGGCACTCCAATTAAAATATTTGTTTGCTGCCATTGTACTTTTCATTTGAGATTTGATGGAAATATACACAAATGATTCTATAAATTATGTGTATAAAGTACATACTTAAAGCTTTACCAGGAGAAGCAATGAGAAGAAGCTATGTTCACTAACAGTATCTTATAAGGTAGAGCCAAAAGTCAATCATCTTTCTTTTTTTAACATCTGTATTATTAAAATTTCACTGGATATTCAGACAACTGGTACTTATTTCTTATGTACTATGCTAACTTCAGAGAAACACTCTCCGGTTCATGACTTTTAAACTTCCATCTCTAGCAAAAACAGTGACTGGTGTATAAAACTGATATTAAACACAAGCCAGAATTTAGTAGTAAAACTCAGGAAAAAAAAGTCCAGACTTTACAGTTTTAACCCAGAATTATTTAGGAGGAATTTTTCAGAACCAAGAATAAGACAAATCAGAGATGAGGCTTCTGACAAGAGCTGTGTCAAAAAGTGTGTAGTTTTATTAAAAACAGAAGCAAACCAGACTGAATGTGTATTTTTAAAATTTTTACAAATGTAATTCATTTCTCCTAAAATGTTATTTTCTTTCACTAAGCACTGCAAAGAACCATAATCAATCCTTGAGATTCTAACTGCCTTACAGGCAAGTCTAAACTGACTTGGGAGTATAAACTAGAATGACGTTTAGGGCGGGCCATTTGAAAATGTTTAGTAGAAGCTTAACATGTACCCTCACTGACTTAGCAATTCCAATTTTAGAAATTTATCTTGAGAAAGTAGACAGTGGAACAGATAAAAATGTTTTTCTTAACATTATTTATAATAACAGAAAGTAGAAAGAGCCTAAGTACACACAGGCATGGTCATTAATAAGACAACTCAGACTATGTTTATCATATAATAAAATATTATGGAATACTAAATACTAAAATCATTTCACAATGTCATGTACGACAGGGAGACATAGTCACTATACATGGCTGAGGGGAAAAAACAAGGATAAACTAAAACATATGATCCTATTCCCTCTTAAAATGTACATGTACATAGAAATGTCTGGAAGAGTATAAATTAATATGTACAAATTACTAATGTAAACATTTACATATATTTATAGTATACAAATTAATATATGCATATTAGGTATTTGATTTTGAGATCACAAATTGTTTTTATTTACTTTTGTGATGGGGCCTGTGGTCTGATTTTTCTATAGGGAATAGTATTTTCCTCATAATAACAATTAGCAACGTTTACTTCAGGCAACTATGCAACATTAAGGTTTTTCACATATTTAAAATACTGAATACTGTATGTACAATGGAAGAAAGGGGAAGGGGAAGAAGAAGTCAGACAGACCATTATAGTATTTAGTGAAGTTTAAGACAATCTTGCATTTAACAATCTGGAAAGACATTTTCGAGAGAGTATGTTAGTGAACAGTTAATGTTCACAAAATTTCAGTCTGCACTCAGATTTAATTTTTTGTGGTAAGAGCAGGTGGCTTTCTTTTTTATAAGTCTCTCCACTGCCTCGTTAGCTTTAGCTCTCTCAAAACTTTTCTTGGGAGCTAATCAAGCTTTATCTAACCAAACCCAAACTGGCATATGGACTTCATCCACATGGTCACATGAATGCTTTGGCTGATGCCTCCTGCCATGTGTCTAATCCATTTTATGAAATCCCCACTTGAAGATTGTTCTATAGCTGTACAAATTTGGTGCTGTAACACTAAGAAAACACAGTGGCAAAGAGACTATCCTATCTGCAAAACTATAGTCCAGTGTCACCTATCACTATCACCAAATATTGATGGTATATAGCCAAACAAAAAAACAATCTTACTAATTCTGAGTGAAAAATGTTCACCATGTACTTCAGCTTAGTCTACTAGTAACACTTCTTTAAATGTCTTGGAAGACAGTAAAATCTGGGACTAATTATCAAACACCATACACACTGTTTACAGTAGAATCATATTTCTTTTCTTTCCCCTCCCACTTTTTTTTTTTTGCATAAAAAAGTAGAATGCTGCTGAATGGTACCCAAATGTCTGTTGTATACCATGCCAATACAGCAGCTCAGCCAAAAATGTGAATAGGATAGCTTGCCAAGTAAAAGAAAACATAACAAATTGGTAATGGTTTCTATCTTGACAGAAAATGAAAATGATCCCTCAATGTGTGGCCACTCATGCGGACACATAAAAATGTCTTAGAAGCAATCATTTTACCTCAGATAACAGACCCTGACAGTGTAGTACAGCAGACTGGCTGGCTTTCCCTTCTTAGAAAAGCGGCAACCATGACCTACAAAATCATCTGGGAAGCATGTAATTTATGCATAACACACATGCACATGCCATGCACTCATAATATTTGCTATAAATATTAGAATATGAGTCTCTTTTCTTGTGTAGAATATAGTTTTATGAAGAGGGTCTGAATCTCCAGAGACTTGATAAAGCTGAACTGACTTACTTGTGAACAGAAATGATGCTGTTGCATATAAGGTTACAAAACCAAGTGGTCTATATTGCGATAAAAAGGAATCACAGAAGGACCCTATGTATATCATTCTACGTAGTGCTTTGAACACTAAAGGAATTTTTATTATTAGATGAAACAAATACCAAAAATATTATGGAGGTGCAAAATACACAGATCTGATTTTCTACTTATGAGATTACAATTGAAAACAGAAATAAACCCATTGATGACCTGCTGATGGTTCTTCTAATTTTTTTTTCTTCAGACGGAGAAGTGGCCAACATTATGAAGGATTTTTTCCCCCTCATCTGGTGAAATTTGCCCCTTTGTTTAGCTTTATATTGGGATGTTAGATGGAACGTGGATGTATGGTCAACTCCATAAAAAACATGAATGACACTTTTAAAAACACATAATTGATATCTGAAGATAATGAGCAATTCAAAATGAGAGAACACTGAACCAAGGAGCTAGGAAGAACATTGGGAAGTGAAATGATCTTGTCAAGTTGAAAGTAAATTTGAATCCTGTGGGTTAGGAGTTTCAAATGAAACTTCTGGGGTTTGAATTTGTTGGTGACTTTCCTGTTCAATAAAAAAGGGCTTAAATGACTTATAAAAAGGTTAAAAAAACTTACTGGGCATCACACTGCTCTTACAAAACACCATCTTGATGAGTTAAGTGTAAATGAATCAGAAACACATGGGTCATATTTCCTTAAAAAATGCATATGGATTAAAAAATAAGGGGACGAGAACTTGGCAAAACATTTTTTGTGTGGTGGCTGAACCGAAAACATTTGAAAGATATTTTGAGACATTCAAGGAATCCAAAATAAAACTAAACCTGTCCAGTCATATAAAAACAGAAAGCTCTTCTATGCAGTGTACATTTATTTCCATGGGTCAATCAACACTCAATGAGCCTCTGCCTTTGGCACAGAACTGTAGGAGAAGCCAGTTTCTACCTTCAAGCAAGTTTGAATTTAAGTATAAACAAATAGATAAGTAACTGAAACATGCTACAAGAGATCAAGGATTTTCTAAAACTTGGCACCATGACCCAGATCATACGGAAAGTATAAATTAATCAAGGAGTAACTGTTTTTAGGGTGCTCAGGTAGGTAAGCTTCTTCATTCCATTCAAATGAGCACTCGTTCAGCCTTTTGGTTAAACAAGTATATACAGTTATAGAGCCTTACTTGTTTAAATGTTTTCTCAGTAAGTGTTTTTATGTCTTTTTAAAAAATATTTGTCCCAGTCCTCCTTCCTCCACCCTCTAGATTTGTGAGTATTCAACAGATCTTCCTAACAGGTTTCCTAGAGATGCAAATGCTGAACAATTTTGTAAGAGGGGAGATACTGTTTGGGAGGCCATGATTCTGAGTTGGGGTAATGGCACATATGATGGTTCAGAGGCCCCAGGAGGTGAGTCATGTGTAGGGGGTATTGCACTGGCTCGACTGCTTTCACAGGCCTTAGTCAGAGTGCTGTGGGAAGCAGTTAGGTGTGGGAAGGCCTAACATACTTCAGATGAATCAGTATGGGGACAGAGGGGCACAATATTCTTAAAAACTATTTATTATTTAATTCTGCCAGCATAGGATAAAGTTCTAAGCACTGGGTAGGTATATGCCATTATTTTCTTCATTCTCTCTCTCTCTTTTTTTTTTGTGGAGGGTAATGGGGAGGAATGGTGCTAGGGCCTGAACTCAGGGCCTAGGTGCTGTGTTTTAAGGCTGGGGTTCTACCACTTGAGCCATACTTTCACATCCAGCATTTTGCTGGTTAATTGGAGGTACAAGTCTGATGGACTTTCCTGCCTGGGCTGGTTTCAAACTGTGATCCTCAGATCTCAGCCTCCTGAGCAGCTAAGATTACATGCATGGGCCACAGATACCTAAGCTTATTTTCCTCATTTTCTATCAGGGTCTTTAAAAGCTGAAAAGTATCTGAAGCTAAAATATAATTAAGTTCATATTGCTAAGGATCCTGTAGATCATAAACTTGAATTGGAAGTCAGTAGCAAATAGATTAATGAATAAATTACTGAATCCTAAAATGTTGGTGGGAAAGCTTAAAAATCACTGATTTATTACCTTTTAAAGTTGTTTCCTAGCTACTTAATATGTGTCTTATCTTTCTCACAATTTTCAAAGTTACTTAAGGCAGAAACAGTGGTAAATATTTGTTGTTATTTTACTACAGGCTAGCACTACACTGGCATTTATTGAGTGGTTAACATGCTCACTGATCACTTTAAATTGAGCTGAGATGAAGTAAAAGGTACAGAGTCTTTACAATGATGGCAACAGGATCTGAAAAGAAAGTGCATGACATAATGGAAATATCCCCATAAAAGTGTCTCTACTTTGAGCCTATTTGATCAGAGTTAATGCAAAGAAATCAGAGCTCTTACCATCCTTCATCATCGTCTACTTCTGTTTCAGAAATGTCATTTTCAGGATTTTCCGCAATTGCTTGGGTGAGTTTAGACTTGAACTGGTTCAGCAGTGCAAGGGTCTGAAATAGCGTTTTTTACTGGTAAGTTTTCTGATAAAGATAAATATAATTCTACAAGAAATACTTGAATTTGGTAGAAAGGAAAATAACTCACTTGGGTATAAAACATTTAAGATAAATGTTTGAGTTTTGAAGGAAAATGACAAAATTGCCTTCAGGCTACAATAATGACATTAATAAACTTGGATGCTGTCATGTTTGGTTCTCCACTGACATTTTTCTCTAAGATATTATTCATGGTTTTGTGATTCTAGGACTATAATTTATTTACATGGTAGACACTTCAATTTTAAAATATACACTTAATAGTTAAGTTTTAAATTTTATCAAATAGAAAGGTAATTCACTAAGATATGTGGAATAAAAAACCAAATACCAAATACAAATACTAGCCTTCAATAATTTCCACAATGTAAAAATATCAGTATCAGGAAGGTAAAATGAATGAACACATTAACTACTAGAAGATGGGTAAATTGAAACTAGTTTTATAAGCTGTTGATATGTATCAGAGACTTTATGATGATTATTCCTTATTATTCAATAAGTCCAATTCTGGGAATCTATTCTGGTAAAACAATGTGGAAGCACAAGGACATTCCTTATTAGCAATATTTGTATAACAGAACATGTCAAATGTCTATCAAAAGGAACTAGATAAATTTGGTAAAAAGCAATTAATATGTTATACCGTTAAAATTATATACATAAAATTGCATGCTATTTCTAAGTGAAAGAAATATCATGATGACCTCCCCATCCTTCTCCCGCCCTCTCTCTTTCCTCTCTCCCTCCCTCCCTCCCTTCTTCCCTTTCTTCTTTCTTCCCTTTCTTTTGTGTGCCAATACTGGGACATGAAGCCATACTCCACTTCTGGCTTTTTGCTGATTAACTGGGGATAAGAATCACTTGGATTTGTTTACCTAGGCTGGCTCTGAACCACTGGTAGCATTCTCTCTCTGTGTCTTTCTTTCTCTCTTCCTCCCTCCCTTCCCATTTCTCTCTCTCTCTCTCTCTCTCTCTCAGGTTGTGGGGCTTGAACTCTGGGCCTGGGTACTGTCTCTGAGCTCTTCAGCTTAAGGCTAGTGCTCTACCACTTGAGCCACAGCACCACTTCCAGTTTTTGGTGGTTTATTGGAGATAAGAGCCTAGTCCAGAATGTAAGCGGAGAATAATGGTTAGGAATTTTTTTCCTATTCTATAGTTTTATAGAGTTTACTTAGTAAAGTGGCATAAAGTACTATCTGTCTGATAAAGGACCAAACATATTGAATTCAATACTAAAATGCTCATACTTCATAGGAAAAAATGAGGAATGATATTTCTACATTATTATATGTAGGATCATCATTTAAATTCTATTCAATAATTTAATTTTTCTTCAACATAATTGATTATATTATCTTATATAATAACTAGACAACAGGTATAATAAATCATAACAAGAAATTAGATATAAAAATTTATTTAGTGAATGTTAAGATTAAAATTCATGAAAAAATAAATATTAGGCAGTCAAAAACCTGCACTTAAAAAACAAGAAATGTCAAGATATCTGAAAGAAATAATTAGGTTACTGTTACAAAATGACAGTGGAAAGAAAGTGCATTTTTGCAAAATTTAATGATTACATACAGAACACCTGAAAACACACAAATTACTATAGTTGCTGAATGAGATTTTTGAAAATGCCAACAGAATATCATAGGCATTTTGAGAGCTGCCAAATGTGTTAGGACTTTGGCATTTTTTTTCTGTTTCTAGATAGATATTATGGAACTAAACCTTCAAATAATATCAAATCTTGAGATTTAAGCCCTATTTATTATAAAAATCTCTTTCATTTATACATTTTATTACATTCACTTTAAATAAGAAATAAGTTACTACAGAAATATTGGACAATAGAAGCAAAACAGAAACAACTATTAGTACTTTACTATGAGTAACCATCGTTAATATTTTAGTGTATACCTGTTTCTTGTATCTGCTTATATAAACACTCATCCATCTAAATTACATGAATCTATCTATCTACTTTTCATTTATCTATTTAGTTTGTACCTTAAAAATATCAACCCTATTAATTATTTTAGTTTGGCTGTACTGGGTTTTGAACCTATGATTGCTTGTTATGCAGGTGCTGTACACAGAAGTAATGTCTCCAGCCCCACCCCCTTTTTATTGTAAAGATGATGTACAGAGGTGTTACAGTATCATGAGTAAGGCAATGAGTGCATTTCTTGTCAAACATTGTTATCCTCTCCTTTGTTTTTCTCCCACTATCCCTTCTTGTCCCTATTCCTCTCCCCTCCCCCATCCAGCCCTTTTTACCGTCATTATTTGTGTGTCTCCTTTTTGACCTGGATGCGCAACTGGACATTGATCTGCCTATTTTAAGCTTTCTGTTGTAGGTGGAATGACAGGCATGTTATGCTATGCCTAGGATTTTTTCCTTTCAGATGGAGTCTCACAAACATTTTTGTCCAGGTTGGCCTGGAACCCTGATCTTTCAAATCCCAGCCTCCCACCTAGCTGGGATGACAGTTATATACCACTGTGCCCAGCTACTGGTTGAGAAGGGATCATGTATGTGTGTACTAGATGGATTTGAACCATAGTTTTGATTTTAGCCTTGGTGTGAGCCACCAGCACCCAGAAATGTATCAGCTTTCAATGGTGGACTTTGCAAAATGCCTTTCTGAGTACATAAAGAACAATGAAAACAAAGGACATTTCTTCATGGAATGAAATTCTAAAAATTTCTAGAAAATTACACCAGACCTGGATCTTTCTCCCAGAGTTAAAAGTGGCAAGGCATTTTGTCTTTAAAGCCAATTGGCATGCTATTGGCATTTACTCAAAATTATAAAACTAACAACAAAAAAATCCTCTTGGTCTTTTTTTTTACCTTCTCCTGTATTCAAGATGAAATTCTGTGAGCTCCATTCTAAAGCAAAAGAAGACACCAGGCAGAAAAGAAAACATCACAAAAATACTGGGTCACATGATAAAGAAGATAGAATCTCCGTGGAGGCATTTCTGTTTGGCATCTGCTAGGAATTACTCAGTCTTCTGGCTTTTGCTGAAGGAAGGAGTTGCCAACCACTTACAGCATGGTTCTTTAGCATAGCAAGAGACTTTGCATGAAGAGGTTATGTTGAAGACACCCAGCTTGGCAAACAGTCTGTGCATAGCTAACACTAGCATCTCCTACACAAGTTGGCCTCTGTGTCTTGACTCCAGCCTACTCTTGATATTGCTGCCAGGCTGGAGGGGTCTTCTCTCAATGCAACTGAGATCACATCCTTCCTCTCTCAATGGTTTCTTCATTGCCTGTAGGCTAACTCTAAATCCCTAATATGGCACAAAAATACCATACATAGGAAAGGGATGTAACTAAGTGGATGAGCATTATCCTAACATATGCAAAGCCCTGTGTGAGTTTGATCCTTTCTGCAGTAACACACACACACACACACACACACACACACACACACACACACACACACACACACACACACACACACATTCACTAACCAAAAAATTGTATGGATTGACTTATTGCTTACCTCTTTTCTTCTCTTGGTTATGTTATACTCATACTTGTATTCCTTTTGTAAATTAAACTTTCAAAGCTCAGCTGATGGAACATTTTCTTAGGGAGACCTTTCCACATTCTTAGCCATGTTTAGGTTTTACTGTTACATATTTACAAGTTCCCTGTATTTATTCTTTTATTCTCTTTCTTGGTATTACTTGTTTAATTAGATTTTTTTCCTATAGCTCAGGGGGGAGGGAGGTGTATGAGGTGTATGCTTGGTGACTACCAAATGATTATTGCATGGTAGTTTGAGAGGGGGGGGTAGGGAGGGAGGGGGGGAGGGAGGGAGAGGATGTTGGTACTGGGTTTGAATTCAGGGCTATATGCTTTCACTTAGCTTTTTCATTCAAGCCGCACTCTATCACTTGAGCCATAGCTCTTCTTCCATCTTTTTGGTGGTCAATTAAGGATAAAGAGTCTCATGAACTTTTTGGTGCGCGGTTTTTAAAATGTGATCCTCAGATCTCGGCCTCAGCTAGGATTATAGGCATAAGCCAGCACTGCATGGCCACAAGATAAGCTCTTACTAATTATTTGCATTGAGGGGAGAAAGAGAGACAATCATGAATAAAGGCGATCATCAGTATGTTTGATGGTCATTACAGTTGCTATTTAGAAGGCTTTGAGACTCCATGAAGACAAGTTAATGTACTTAAAAAGTTCCTCAAAAGACTACATATACAACTCCCCTATGACCCAGCAATCCCACTTCTGGGCATTCACTCAAATGATCACAAACAAAGCCATATTAAAGCTACTAGCACAACTATATTCATCGCAGCATTTTTTCACCTTAGCTAAGGTATGGAACCAACCCAGATGCCTCTTAGTAGATGAATGGATCAAAGAAATGTGATATACACACATACACATACATTGGAATTCTATGCTTCCATCAAAAGCATAGAATTTCCATTTGTTAGGAAATGGAAAGACTTGGAAAAAAAATCATATTAAGTGAAGCAAGCCAGACCCAAAGAAATCCCATGTTTTCCCTTATTTTCAATAATTACTATACGTCTAGGATAATTTTATCAGATGAGCAGAAAAGCTCAAAAGCTACGTCCATATGACCACGTAAGATAAGTGAAATGAACCCCAAGATATAGACACAAGAGGTCTTTCTTTGTTGGTGTTGTTTTTAATGTATTATGTGATTTTTTTGTTTCCTTTGTATGTTCTTCCCCCTATGGTATATACCCTGTTGTCACTGTATTTGATTTTGGTAGCCTGCATCTTGTGTATACACTTGTCTAATTTGAGAAGGGGAAGGGGAATAACAAAATGCTGAAACAAGGACACAGGATGACCCATCGCAACAATGATACCACAAGACACTATATTGGAAATGAACTTTACAACTTTGGGGGTGGCGGGGAGAGGTGGGGAAGGGAAGGAATAGTGGGAGAACAACAAAGGAGGGGTAACAATGATTGACAAGAAATGTACTCATAGCTGGGCGCTGGTGGCTCACGCCTGTAATCCTAGCTACACAGGAGGCTAAGATCTGAGGATCGCGCTTCAAAGCCAGCCCGGGCAGGAAAGTCCGTGAAACTCTTATTTCCAATAAACCACTAGAAAACCGGAAGTGGCATTGTAGCTCAAGTGGTAGAGCGCTTGCCTTGAGCTGAAGAGTTGAGGGACAGAGCTCAGGCCTAGAGTTCAAGCCCCACAACCAAAAAAAAAAGAAAAAGAAAAAAGATATGTACTCATTACCTTAGTCATGTAACTATAACTCCTCTGTACAGCATCTTTTCAATGAAATAAAATTAAAAAATTCATTTGGTATGCTATTTCTTTTGAAAATTACATATAAATCAGTGCACTGTAGTTAAAATTCCCTATACCCTTTTGTTGAACTTTTCCTATGATTATTTTTATTCTAAGTACTGATGGATGATTCTTCCTTACCAATAATAAGTCATTTAAAAAGTTTCTTAATAGATTAATTTAACCAAATAGATTTGGGTTTTAAATTTACCTTGGTTTTGCATATTTATTCATATGCCTAAAACGGCATGTCCAAATATATATATATATATATTGATACATACGACAAAGTAAATTAATTTTGCTTTTGCTTTGTCCTTATCTTTTCAACATGAAGGGGGCTATAAGAGATTTCTTTTATCAAGTGCCAACTGCCTCCCAATCTCTGATCTAGTTCTATCTCTACCTATTTATTCATTTAGTGCTGATCCTCACACAGCCCCTGAACTTTTTTTTAGGCCAGATTAGTGCTCTATCACTTGACTACAGCTCCACTTTCTGGTTTTTTTGTTTTGGATAGTAAATTGGAGATAAGAGTCTCACTAACTTTCCTGCCAGGACTGGCCACAATACTCAAATCTCAGCCTCTTGTGTAGCTAGGAATACAGGTATAAGCTACCAGTGCCCAGCTTCTCTTTGAATTCTTGATTTTCATCAGTTTTTCATATTGCTACCTAAAACTTCAGAAATTACTTACAACAAACAGGGTTTTATTGAAGAAGACATCAACTAGTGGTCCAATGTCTCATGTCCAGGTAGGGTGTAATTTCAAGTTGAGCTGGCTGTTTGGCATTTAATTTACTGGGCTGGAAGAGAGACTCTTATCATTTGCACTTTTTACTTCTCCATTTCATAATATTCATTCTACATGAATTTCTAAAGATATATGTGTTTAAAGGGTTTCTGGGCTTGATATGGGAGGACCAGGCTAAAATTTGGAAGTTTCAGATTTTTAACCTAAATGTCTGGAAAGAACTCTAGAGTTTGAACTCTTAGGAGTGGCCAAGGTTCTTGGCTCCCCACCAAGGATGCATAAATTCATCCTTTTTAATTTGTAAGAGGTAGTAGTGCCTCCCCCATTGTCTAGTCAGCCCCAAAAGGCAATGATTTAAATATGTGTTTTTGGTTTCTGAAGTTACCTGGTCTTCCCGGGAAGATCCTTTCTTTGGTTGTTGCTTCCTCAAAGCCTCATACTTTTGCTTTTCTCTTCGGTATTCTGCCACAGCACCATCTGGAGTGGCTTCTTCCTCTGGAAAACAGTAAGCAATACTTACAAGTTAGAAGTACAAAGAGGTTCCTACTAATGCAAATGCTCATGTCACTAAACAGAAAGTAAAGATTTGGGCTTAGGTTTCCTCCATTTAAAAACAAAACTAATAAGATCCATTTATTCAGAGAACATTTGTGTTCTCCTTTAGAAGGTAACTGGTGTTAATTTATTGACTAATTTTGCAAACATCTTTATTGTTTTATCTATTTATTTATCTTTATCTATTTTAATTGTTCTTCTCACTTGTATTTGTTAAATGTGATTGTAAATCACCTATCTTAGTTTTAAAATAACTAAGGTGCCCTAAAGTTAGCAGTTACAGTTTCTTATAAGATATAATCTTCCAAATATGGGTAGATATTTCAACTACCTGACATTTTAGTTCACCAGTTATAACAACAGACTCTCAACTTGATTATACTACATAAAATAAACATATATAATAAGTCAAGATAGACAAAAGAAAAAAAAATTCTTACTAAGTTAAGATTTAGAAATTTATGTATTTGGTCCTACGATAATCCCATGTGAAGTAAATTAACGTGGGTTTATAAATTATAGTTTTATATATGTATATGTATGTATATATGTATTCTGTATATGGGAAAATTTGTGACTAAAAGCAAAACAAGTAAATCTAAACAATCTCTTCTTCTTTGGCTGGTAAACCATGATGAGACAATGTAATAATGAAAGCCAGTCATCTTTCTACTCATGAGTGAGTGAATCAAAAGTGAGTTATCATTGTCTCACTGTTACCTAGTTTGAAGAACATCGTAAATGTGTACTACATTAACAACAGTAATTTTATTCAAGAGATCTTCTAGTTAAAATAAAATACATGAACGAAGAAATAATTTGCTCTTTTTGTGGTTACTTAATGTGATTTTGATGGCACTTGAAAGAAATGATCAGCTTTATAAGTAATTTTATATGGGTGCTTTTAAAGTACTCTATGTCCAGCTCTGTTTTCAAGACTAACAGCTGTAAATGCTGAGCATATTGATGAAAAAGAAACTATTAAATACAGAAATAATAAATCATCTTAGTAGGTTTTGAAGTTTTTCATGTATTTCTTTTGAATTATATCTTTGAATCTCTCTTCTTATCTTATAATGGTTGGATTTGCATACCTCAGGATTCCTATGACAGTTAATGTATTCCCTTTCCCCCTTTCTCCCACTCCCCTCAGTACAGGAGACTGTGTGCATTCTAAGCAAGAATTCTACCATTCTACTCCCATACGGACATGGGCAGACCTAAAGATTTCCACTCTAATCTCATCTTTCACAGCTCCTTTGTTGCATTTACCTCACAGTGTTATCATTTGCTTTCTATTGCTCTTTGAATATATCTTGCTGTTGTCTTCACTTTCTAATTTCTGCACCTCCTGTTTCTTTTTTTCTGGAACATGATAAACATCCCCTCTTCCATTCTCCAATTAATGTTCCTTGCTTAACTCCTGCTCAATCTTTAGTCTCATATTGGCTGGCACTCCATTAAAGGATCTTTTCTCATTACAGTCACTAAAGTTAGATTTACGTGTTCCTTCTTTGAGCTTTCAGGGCACTCAGCACTTTACCACACTTCATGGTAACTTCTTGTTTACTTTGCTTTTACCTTCAGTGGACATTAAATGCCTTTGAGAAGTCATGTTTCCCCAGCACTCAGGGCAGCACTTGGCTCAAATACTAGAATCATGAAGAACAGTCAAATGATGGGATGAAGTAATAAATGGAATTGGAGAAGAGGAACATAAAGAGGTAGCAGGCCAATCTGGCCCAACCTGAGTTACAGCAGTAGTACTTCACATGTGCCTGGAAGCTCCAGTTCCATCACTCTAATGCCTACAGCCTTTACCCACCATTTCCCTGTGTCAGAATTTCATGATGTTCTAAGGAAAATTCTGGTGAGTATCCTTTGAAATACCTAATGCTTTCATGGTTGAAACAAATACACAAAAGATAAATTCTTTTTTTTTTTTTGCCGGTTCTGGGGCTTAAACTCAGGGTCTGGGTACTGTTCCTGAGCTGCTTTTTTTGCTCAAGGCTAACACTCTTAACACTTGAGTCACAGGGCCACTTCTGTGTATGTGAGGAATCAAACTCAGGGCTTCATGCATGCTAGGCAAGCACTCTACCATTAAGCCACATTCCCAGCCCCAACAGATGAATTCTTCACACACACACACACACACACACACACACACGCACGCACGCACGCACGCACGCACGCACGCACGCACGCACGCACACTGGGGGGTACAAATGACTGAAAACCTTTATTTGTGGTGAGAATTTGAAAATAAATGCGAAGGCTAATAATGATGAATTCAACTATCTGATGTCACAGTAAGTCAAGATTAAAACATTCAAAACAAATTCAACTATGCTTACTTTTATTTTCATGTATTCCTTTCCATATGGTCTCTGTTAGTAAGGACCAACCTCTTGATTGCACTTTTCAGGAATGTGTAGCAGTGTTTTTCTTCGCTTTTTTGAAAACAGGCTCTTGGTATTTCCCCTGGCTATTCCCAAACTCATAATTCACACCCCCCTTACCCACAGCCTCCTGATTGCTGGAATTATAGTCATACACTCCATTGCTCAAGTATTAGAAATCAGTGACAAGTAAATTGCTATGACTTCTGTTTATTGTTCACTCTAAATATCTATGATACCATGATTATTAAGTCTGGTAAAGTTCCATTTAGATGGCATAAACACTAAAATTCTAACATATTCAAAGTACATACAACCAAATGCAACAACACCTACATAAACACAAGTGCACCAAAACAGTTGCTCAATTTTTCAATTTTCTTACTGGGTATAAAGTATAATAACTAAGACTAATCATAGTATATTCCAGTTTCACACTTTCATTTCTGATCAATACATTCTGAGTAATTTCCTTAACTTTATATTTCAGTTCACTAATTGTCTTTCCAGTTGTATCTCATCAGTTTTTAAACTATATCTGAGTTAATATTTTTATTTTACAAATTGTATTTAGCTCTTTTTCAAATTCATCCATTCTTTACATGACCTTGGCTATTCATTATTATTTTTATTCTTCAAAAAGTCTCTATTTTAAACATAATTATTATGTTTTATCTTTCACACTGTTCTTAGGATCCTTTTGTTTATGTCTTCTGGCTCTCTCTTCAGTGGTGGTCATTTTTGTTTTCTAATAATTTATTATTGAGATTAAGTGATTACATAAATTTCACAGTATTGTGAGATAGTAATACTTAATTAAAGTCACAAACACATTTTAACCTTTACAAGGCAAACTGTCGTTATCATGGTCTATAAAGTTTGTGAATTCTATGAGCTTTGCAACAGCTTACACTAAGCAAAAGGAAAAAAATGTACATAATACCCGACGTGGAAGAAACAGTGGTATTATCAAAGCTAATTTTTTTTTTATTGTGAGTTTATTTTTGTCTGAGGCTACCTCTTCTTCACACTCCACAGGAACTCTTGGCACTCAAGATTGTGCAAAGACTCCTTCAAAGAGGATTTGCATATTTGCTTTTGATTCTGCAAGATAATCAGAGGTTAAACACCACCTTTTTCTATGTTAAATTTTTGATTTTGGATTCTATACCATGTGAAAACATTCAGTATTTATACATTCAGACTTTCAGACCATATCTGTTAGGTAGTGTTTAGTTTAATTTTTTTTTTAATGAGACATTCTTTTTTCCTTCCTTCCCTCTCTGCTCACCCACCACCAACCCCCCCTTCATTCCCTCTAAAAATGGAAAGGATTTTTTTGGCCTTCTTGACCAAGTGTATAGTTTTCTGTTTCTTACCTCTTTATATATACCTAAGGCTGTATCTTCTATCCAAGACAGAAGATGAAAATTCCAGATTCTAGCTATTAGAACCTACAACAGAGTCGAATATCATTCTAGCGACCTGAGTATTAGCAGTGCTCACTTAATATCCTGGTTATGCCTTCTTTTCGTTTCTGGTATCTAGGAATTTCCTTTCCCTTCCTCCTCCTTTTCTTACCTTCTTATTCTCACTCTCCCTCCCTTGTGCCCATCATATTTTATTTATTTACTACATAAGAAAGAAGTTCTGTGTTAGCTCAGTCCATGCTTCAGAACAAGAAGTAGTACACTCATTTCTCATGTGCTTGAATTCTGAATAGACAAAAATTGAAAAAGTAACTGGCTAATCAAATCTGGCTAATATAATGCAAAATACTTTAAAGAATTATTTAAGTATGGAGTTCTCAACTATGGATTTTATTATAAATCTCAATGATAAATCTGAATGATTAAAATAATATGCAATATAATAACTAATCATTAGCTGAAATTTCTGTGAAACATGCTAAATGAGTACAAACTAAGGATAGACTAAAAAAGGCACATTTATTGAGGAACTACTATATGTTAGACACCATGCTAAGATCTTTGATTACCCATGAAGGAGTATCCTTGGGGCTGTTTTACAAATGAGGAAAAAAAGATAGGGCCATATATGATAAAAATAGGATACAATTTCAGGTCTGTAAAATATTAAAGGCTCACAGTATATCATACTGTCTTCAACTAATACTTAAATTGAGAAAATGAAGTGCATTCTATGTGTCAGGTACTTGGAAAGATACTCTGAAAAAAATAGAAACATATCTGATAAAGACTTATTACTCTTGAAATGAATCTAAAGAGTAAAAGGAATTTAACATATGTGAAAATATTGAGAAACTGATGGGTACCAGTGGCTCAAGTCTGTGACTAGCAAATCAGAAGGCTGAGACCTGAAGCAGTTCAAAGTATCTGGTAGAAAAGTCTGTGAGACACCATCTCCAACTAACAAACAAAATGCTGATGGAAGTATTGTTCAAATGGTAGGGTGCCAGTCTGAGCAAAAAAAGCTGAGCAAACAATGAAGCCACTGACCAAAACCTAAGTATCAAATTTTGAATTCATGTGTGATGCCAGTATCAGAAGGCTAAAG